ATTTGGAGATGTGTACAGGGCAGGGAAAGGAAGACGGCCTCGCAGGCCTACTTGTCAGGGGTGTGGGCTTCAGCCCAGCACGTAACCTTTTAGCCTCCCTCAGACAGAGGCTACAGATTCATAGATTGGAAAGAGCTGGAAGGGACCTCGCAAGATCATCGGGTCCAGCCCCCTGCACCAGGCAGGAAAGCTAACTGGGGTCAGGAGACCCCAGCAAGGTGACCGTCCGCTCTCCTCTTGAAGATGTCCAGGGTAGGCGATTGCACCACTGCTGGAGGGAGCCTATTCCACAGTCTGGACACCCTGACTGTGAAGGAATTTTTCCTGGTGTTAAGCCTGAATCAATCTTCCAGGAGTTTGTGGCTATTACTCCTGGTTTTCCCCAAGGGTGCCTGGTGAACACCAAGCCCTTGATATATTCCCCTGATGTAGTGGTAAGCTGCTACCAAGTCCCCTCTCAGGCTTTTCTTTTTTTGAGGCTGAAGAGGCCCAAGTCCCTCAGCCTTTCTCGTGTGGCTTGCCATGCAGGTCTCTGATCGTGCGGGTGGCCCTTCTCTGGACCCTCTCAAGCTTTCCACATCTCTGTTGAAGTGCGGCGCCCAGAACTGGACGCAGTCCTCCAGCTGCGTCTCGCCAGCGCGGAGTAAAGCGGAAGAATCACTTCCTTCATTTTGCTTGAGATGCATCAGTTGATGCGTGGCAGAGTGTTGTTTGCCTTGCTGGCCACAGCATCGCGCTGCCTGCTCGTGTTCATACTAGGGTCTGTTGTTACCCCCAGGTCCCTTTCAGTCGTGGTGCTGGTCAGTTTGGCAATTGGCAATTGATTACTGCGCACAAATAATAAAAAAACAGGGACAGGAGTGAAGGTCAGAGGTTCATAACGGTAGAGGTGCACCAATATATTGGTCACGTATCAGATCAGCGCTGATAAAAGGACATTATCGGCAGTCAGCTTGTTTTTGGCTGGTGTAGCTGATAATGTCACCAATAAATGCCACGTTCTTGTGCACAACTGCAGCGAGGAATGCAACACAGCAGCTTGGAGAGCAGCACACACTGAGAGAGGGGGTGGGGCAGGGGCAGGCGCTGCCCAGCCAAGGCAGTGAATGTGACCCCAGAGTGGGGCAGAGCTGTGGGCAGGGGCGGGGGGCTGACTCTCATCACTGTGCACACCCCCATGGGCGGTATAGGGGCATTTGCCCCCCGGATCTGTGCTCGCTGCCCGCTGCAAGCTTGGGGCTAGGAGCTGCGCCAGCCTCTTCCTGGCAAGGGGGCTGCATTTGGGATGGGCAGGCCAAGGCAGTGAATGTGACCCCAGAGTGGGGCAGAGCTGTGGGCAGGGGCGGGGGGCTGACTCTCATCACTGTGCACACCCCCATGGGCGGTATAGGGGCATTTGCCCCCCGGATCTGTGCTCGCTGCCCGCTGCAAGCTTGGGGCTAGGAGCTGCGCCAGCCTCTTCCTGGCAAGGGGGCTGCATTTGGGATGGGCAGGTGCAGGGCAGGTGGCGCTGCTGGGAGGGGAGACTACGGGGTGGGCTATAGCCACCCCAAAATTCCCTATAGCCAACCCTCAGCAGTGCCACCTCCCACCTTGCCCCGAGTGCAGTCCCCACTGGGAAGAGGCTGGCAAAGCCCGTGGCCCCAAGCCTGCAGCGGGCAGCCTGTCCTTGCCCTGTGCATAAATCTGGGGGTCACATGCCCCCTATGCCTTCTCTGGGGGTCCGCGTAGTGACAAAGAGCTGCCCTGCCTTCTCCCCACCCTTCTGCACCCCCTAGACAAGCTGCCTGCAGCTCCATCCCACTCCCAGGGTCGCATTCACCGCCCTGGCTGGGCAGTGCCTGTCCCTGCCCCACTACCTCACTGTGGGGGCCTTGACCTGCCCCCCCCATGCCCTTGCCCTTCCCCATGCCCCTTTTCCACCCCCAGACTTACCAGCCAGATATGTTCTCCAAGCTGCTGGGCTGCATTCCTTTAACTTGGCTATTGGATCTGTATCAACTAATATGGCTGGTTAATAATCGGCCATTGGTATCGGCCAAGAAAACCTTTCTTAGGGCACCCTTACATTACAAGAGTGCCAAGAGGGGATGCAGAGCAGAGCACACCGGACAGCACCCACTGGCTCCCAAATGAGTCCAAGGAGCCAGCGGACACTGCCCAGTGATCCTCTGCCTGGAGACGGGAATGAACTAGTGCAAGGAGACAGCAGCCCCGCAGGATACTGGGCTAGATGGACCTGTGATCTGTCCCTGTATGGCCCTTATGCTCTTAGGAAAAGGATAGAAAATTCAGTAACCACTGTCAGTGTCAAAATGAAAGGTCAGCTCTATGTAGAGGAATGCAGAAATATAATCCTGATTTAGGACTCTATTCAGGGGGACAGCCTTGTGACCATATAGATATAAATGCACTTTTACTAGAGTCTTTTTCTCAAAAGAAGGAGCTAGGGCTGTGCTCTCTGCTGACAGTCACTGACTCCCAGTTTTCAGGGTGCTAATGCTTTCCAGGTTAGGGGGAGTCGCCCTTAATGGAGAGCCATACATAATGAAGCCATCCATAATAATTCCCAGAAGCTCTCCGTATAAACAGCAAGGGTAAATGTGGGTATAACAGTTTTTACAAATTTACATCAGATGAGAGAGTCTTTCATACTTATAATGGTAGTGGGGTCCCTTTCGGACATAAAGAGGATCTGGAGGAAAACTAATAGATTGTAATAGTTTGGTGAATTAATAACTGAAATTTGGGTTAGAATGACATTTAAAGACAATATAACCTGTTTTTAATATAGTTCCCCTATTTTTTTGTGTATGGATAATACCTATATATAAATTTGGTGCTTGGTATGGAGGCTTTATTTTATGGCTGGGTAAAATACTGCTTTTGTGTTTTAATTACTATGTTACCCACATATTGAAGTTTAGTAAATTTTCTTCACAGTACATTTCCATGTTAGTTTTGTAAGGCTGAATAATATTGTTAAAATATATATGTATTATTAATTACCGTATTTATTTGATTGTAAGGCAAGATTTTGTCCCTATTTAACATAGAGGGAGGGGGAAAGCCCCTCATCTTAGAACCGCATACGGAGGCGAGGACAGGTGGCTGCTGTGGCTTGGGCTCCAGCCCCTACCCAGAATTGGGGCCATAATTACAGCTGCTCCCCGTCAGCCTCTGCTCCCCACTTCCCCTTCCCTCTCCCTGCAGCCTCTGCTCTGCCCGGGCTGGCTCCGTCCCTGTTTTCGGCTGGGGCACTGAGCACATCCCCAGCCCAGCCCCTGTAGCAGCTGGACGTATGCTGCTGCCGTGTGGCCTGGGGTTGTGCTTAATGCTCCAGGCTGCAGCGTGCATGGATCTTGCCAGTATGGAGCAAAAATAAGGCTGGAAGGGAGAGGGGCAGGTGGGGGAGCAGAGGCTGCATGGGCGAGGGGAGATGGCAGCGTGTAGAGGCAGCTGAAAAGTCCTATTTACTATTTAGTCTCTCTTACAGAAATCTTTCCATACCCCTGATCATTTCCGCTGCCCTTATCCATGTCTATTTTAACTTCTTACCACAAATTTTGATTAGAAAGTACTCAAAATTAATCCGTTGGTGAGATTTTATGTGCGACACTTCACCCATTTAAGCTTTCGCCTAGCTTTACAGAATGTGGCCGAGATGGCAAGGATATCTCCTGCAGGGGTGGGCTTCTGCTCGTCTGAGGACACTAGCCTTTCCAGCACTTCCTGGACCAAAATGACCAGGGCTTGTCCACTGAAGGGCCAGTTCATAGAAATCATAGAGAAGTGGGGCTGGAAGGACCTTCCAGAGGTCATCTAGTCCAACCCCCTGAAGGCAGAGGTGACGGGGCCAGGTACAAATAGGGGGCAAGTTACTTGACCTCCCCACAACCTGTGCCCTGTCGCAGTGGGGGGAATGAATTAAAGATAACCCTCAAAAAATTAGATTCTGTACATGGGAAATTATAGCAAATGTATAAATTTTCCATGCGTAGAATCTAATGGAGGGGGGGGGATCATCTGAGATTTGAGTAAATATGGTATTTCCCCATATTTGCATGCATCTACAACCACAGTGGTTTCTTTTAAGGAAATGGCATTATTAGGCAGCACTCTGGCACTATTTTTGAAAGGCTGAGAAAATAAAAGTCTTCATTTGGATGGTTTAATAGGGAACATTTCACTAATGATATAAAAGAGGCCATGTGTCTAAACATAGTTTTGTTCTCCTGTCACTTCACAATGCGTGGAAGACAGCTGGTAGGTTTTAGGAAGGCTTATCCTTTGAAAAAGGAACTAATTTGCCTTGATATGAATAAGGGTTCAGAATCCTGTTTATCTAGGATTTATGTGAATATTTTATTTATATATAAAATAAATATGTAAAATAGATAGACAACTTAGATCTAGAAGAGGGATTTTATCCACGCTCAATTCTGCTGCCTATGTGTATTATTGATATTGGCTATTTGAATTCTTTACTTTTAATCCTTAGAGTAAAAACAAATATTGACAGAAAATTAGATTCAGGGTTGAATATGCTGGCAGTAGGAATGTTTTGGAAAGGGAAATACAGAATTATTCAATACTACTTTCTTGATTTTTTTTTTTTTTTTTTAATTATTATTTATTATTAATCCCTTTGGCCCAGAGAAGGTTAGAGATCAGTCATATTGCATTTATTAAATAAATGGTAGAAATCATAGAGAGACCCATTTACAGTGGATCATTTATCAATCTCTTTGCCAGTAAAGGTCTGTATTTTGTAGTATTATTTCACCTGATTATAAATGACTAAAGTGATTTGATTTTGGAAACTTGCATAATGTAATAGAATCTTTTTTTTTTTTTTTTTTTTTTTTTTTTTTTTTGAAATGTTCTTTTGCTCAGTTTATCTTTTTACTTGTATATCCGTGACTCACCGTGTAATAATTGTCTTGCTTGCTGTTTAATTTTTGGAGTTTATGGGAATGGATAAATGTGCACTTTTAATTTTGATACCCACTTATTACTTCTTAAATTGCTCCATTCGTTTTTGCCTTCTCACACAGCATAACGTGAACTTCAACTCTGAAGAATGTTTTAATGGTGAAGAAAACAATATTTTGCCTAAGAACTGATGTTAGGATTCTGAGTTTCTCTGCAGCAATGGATAGCACTGATGTACCCACATATTCCTAAAGCGGAACATGAAGCTGGGTTCCTTTCATCCCATTAAGTGCTAATGAAGTTGTTCAGTACCGCCGAGGCAATGCAGATTCATGAATTTGGGTTTTGGGCAGGTAAGTGGAGGAGAAAATAATTGTAGTCTATCTTGTTCGGATGCATTTTTGTTGTTATCGGTTATTACATTGTGTTGAAGTAGTGCCCAATAGTCCCGGTTAGGATTGAAGCAACTCTATTCCCATAAGCTCTACTCAATTCTCTGTTCATATTTGCAGATTTGTAGTAATGTTTAAGTCTACACCCGAGGCAAGGATTTATTTGTGTGATATATTTTGTTGGACTAGTTGCATAGCTGGAAGAGTTAAGCAAGATTTTCGGTGCAAGGCATTCTTCAGACCTGATGAAAAATGCCTTGCTTTCAAAAGCTTGTCTAATGCTATCCCAACTGTGAAGCTGGTCTAACAAAAGATATCACCAAAAGAAATCCTTACTCATCACATAATTCCTGCACTATCACAGCTACAACATCGCTTAAGTTGGTGTGGACAAAATACGGCCCACGCACTGGATCCAGCCCATGGAGGGACTTTATTCGGCCTGTGGTGGGTCCCTTGCTCCTAGCTAGCCCGGGCGCCATCTGGCCCACGGGGTATCCTGCCTCCTAGGTGTGCAGTGGGGCTGGGGTGGTTCCACGGCTGGACTCCAGTTGTAAGCAGCTCATGTGGCAGCAGCTTCTAGCTGCTGATGGCCCTAGCCCCAGCCCAGCCCCATGGAGACTGCTGGGGACCTGGGTTCAAGCGTTGGCTTGCCCCATGTCCTCTCTGGAATCATCCTAATGGGAGTGGATCAGCTCCAGACCAGCCGGGACCTGCACACAGCCCTGACCCTGGGCTGCCCCTCATCTGCTCTGGACCTGTCTGCCGCCACTGCTCGTCATGGATAGACCAATCTGGAGGGGACATGGGACAGGCCAGGGTCGATGTTATGCATGTGGGTTCTTGCTGCTCCATAGCTGGTCTGCTCCAGCCAGGGCAAGTCTGGACCAGATGCAGGGCAGGCCAGGAATGGAGCTGTGCACTCAGCTGCTGCTGTGCACTGTTGGCAGGGAGAAGCTGTAGGGCACACAAGCTCTGGGCTGTTGCAGAGGAGATAGGGGGTGGTGCTGCTGACTGGCCTGTAACAGCTCCCCAAAACTGCCTATGTGGCCTGCAGGCCGAAATAATTGCCTGCCGCTATGGTAAGTCTACACCAGACATTTCAGAAGACTTTTTTTCATTTTTTTTTCTATTTTTCTGTTTGATTCCAATCAGTTCATAGCACACATTTTACACAGCAAGGGATTCTACAGAGGTACTAACTTACAAAGTTAGTGGCAACAGCAGTGGCTCCTGCTGCTGCAACCTTGGTAGAAATCTGGTTTGACTGAATGAACAATAAAAGTAGAATGGCACTGGGACAACTCCTGGGAAATAATCTGTAGTGATAGGGAACCTTTGTAGTTAACACGATGGATTCCCCAGTATAAAGGTTGAGTCGAGTATATAAGAAGGGACTGAAATATCACTACAGCAGGGGTGGGAACCTGTTCAGCTGTAGGCTGGAATAATCCACCCTAAATCGGAGGGGACGGGTGCTAGGAATCTGGCTGTAGCTGTAGCTTGTCTCTGCCTTGGCATCGGGAGAGGGCCTACAGCTGAAGTCCCATGTCCACGGGCTGTTCTGTGGCCCTTAGGTTGCCAGTCCCTGAACTAAAGAAATACAATATCGAATTCCTTCCTTCTCTTCCAACACTAAAAATAGAAACAGATGTTCACTGTGGACACTATCCTGTCATTGTGCTTATGAAGTGAATCACTTAGGATGAGTCGCGTTTAATAAAGTTAACTTTGGACATAATCTTTTTTTTGTTGTTCAGTTTTGAGAATGTGAGAGCAGGTGAGGGTCATTTTCAGAGTTGCTTTCGAATTAGAAATGCTCCATAAAGGTTGTAAAGAACTTCTAAAATCTTGGCCCAAAGGGTGTTAACTAGGGCAGGGTTGTCCAACTGCAGTGTGACCCTTGGGCTGTCCTCAGCCACTGCTCTTCCCATCACTCTGGCTGCAATAGCAGCTGAAGTCTCCAGGTTCTCCATCCCTCCTTCAGCTTCTGGCACTTCAGGGGATGGGATGACACGCAGCATGAGGAGCTAAGGGTGAGTCTGGGGCTGTGCCTTGGGGTGTGGGGGCATTGTACCAGTGCACGTGACCATTGCAGCAGGAGGCGGGGATCACAGGGTGTAGTAGGAGGCATAGGTCCCCAGGACACATGGCCCCTGGGTGCTTAGAAGTTGGACAGCTCTGACCTAGAGCCAGGACACATACATTTGGAGCCATTTCAAAAGGGGAAACTGTTGCTACCCTCTTGAAACGGCTCCAAATGTACAAGTGGCTGTTCCCTTATGTGCTGTTGTTATTTTACACTATGAATATATATTTCAGCTGTATTGAGAAATCGGTTTTCTTTTTCTGTCTTTGGCCTGCTTAGGTTACATCAGCACAGTCTGGCAGAGGTAGACGTTTCTTTGTTCTTGACGTTTTATCTGGTAATATGTATAGTATGTGTGGTGGGCAGTTTATATTGTGGTGTTTGGAATTACAGGAGGAAGGAAGCATGCTGCTTTTTCATTTATATTAAATTCTAGTAATTTTACCTCCTTTTCACAGAAGTTTCTACCTTGTTTCTAAGCAAACAAGCAGTTTTGCTTTTAGAGTACTACATGCTACTTGTCTTGCTAAATTTTTAACAGCTTGAAGATTTAAAAAATATATCTTGTCATTTTTTATAAAGATTGCATGGGAGTGTGTTTTAAAATGTCTGCTGTGAATTTTCTCCTTTGGTGTCATGAATATTTTAATAAGCTTTTGTTTTATACATGCAGGCCAAGCACACTACAGCATATATAATTGCTAGAGAAAGTTGAGAGCAGTATTATATAGTTTGAAAAAGAATAATTTTTGAACAACAGAAGTCTCTCTATGCCTGAAGATGGGTACGTGTGCCTGGAAGCTTGCAAAGAACCTTGTTCCAACTACTCAGTTGGTCAAATAAAAGATACCACATCTCTCCAAAGAACCTTGCCCGCCTAATTTTTGTTCAGTCTTATTTTATTCATTGCTATCCTCATCTCAGAGATTAGATTTAGTATTTTTTTTTTTTGTCCTTTTATAACAGCTCATGTATGGTTTTCTTGTGTTTTTTACAAACAGTTTATTGTAAACAACTCAGCAATTGTGTAAGCTAGATTAATATTGCTACACATCTCACAGATACCAAAACCTAAGGCCCAGGTAGAGAGGAAAGGTCCTGTGTTTAAGATACTAACTACAACTTGAGACCCTGGGTTGTATTCTTGGCTGTGCACTGGTTTTCTATTTGATCTTCATTAGGTTAAGTGGCTCTCCATTTAGCAGAGGCTTTTTAGCCTTTGCCTGGCTTTAAAAATCTGTATTGAATTCAGTGGAACTCTGCATATGTTTAAAGTTAGGCACATATTGACATTTAACCTAGGCAGGGCCCAGATCTCAGGGCACATGTATACTGCCTGCATGCCCAGCTGGGGAATACCATGGTGAGGCTCACTGAGCCTCCTCTGGACCTACTGCCATTCAAAACGGAGGTAAGGCGGCTGCCCACCAGCAAGTCCTGAGAGGCAGTGTAACCATCCTCTCTGAAAAGTGGATAATACAACTTCTGCTTGCTGCTGCCTCTGTTTATAGTGTAAGCTCTTCAGGGCAAGGACTTCTTGATTAGCGAGGCTGTATTATGTCCTTGCGTGGTTATGTCTAAAACCTTGATTTCACTTGGTACCTCTAAGTGCCACAGTAATACAAAATGATAAATAAAAGAATGGGCTGCAATTGCATTTGGAGCTGCTGCAAGCTGTTAAGATCGAAATAATATTATTAAGATAAGTCAAAAGTCTGATTGTGCATCCTGTGTGTGTCTTTGGAAATGGTTGGGCCTACGCAGTAGGATGTTTTATGTGAATTGGTGTTCAAGCTTCGGTCCTGTGCTGACTTGCCCAGTGCTGTGTGGTAAGGTTGAGCCAGATTTACAGCAGCCTGAAGCCACAGTTACTGCTTCTAATCATAGACTGATGTTTAATCTGGCTGCAGATCCTTTTTGGAAAAAATTGCTTTTATTTTAACCAGTGTGTTTCTAAGTTTGTGTGTGTTTTTGTTCTTAGGTTTCCATTAAATCAGCTGGCGATGTCTATGATCTTATCTGCCTCCGTGGTCCGTGTGAGGGATGGACTCCCACTCTCTGCCTCTACAGATTGTGAACAGAGTACAGGTGTGCAGGAATGTAGGAAATATTTTAAAGCGCTCTCAAGGAAACTTGCTCAGCTTCCCGACAGATGTACGCTGAAAACGGGGCAGTATAACATAAAGTAAGGTTCTTCTCTCATTATCCTTGCAATGCTTCCTAGTGGTATCTGTTGTAGCAAGTTAAGAGTTACAGTATAGAGGTGATTAATCAATTTAAGAATACTGTCTTATCTCACATACACCCTGCTTCTCCAAAATAAGGCGCATACCTTGTTTTTTAAAGGCAGAACATACAAAAAGGATTTTTCCACACTCATGGCTAATTCTGTGACATTAAGTAAGTTCTCTTGGGAATGTAGCATCCAGGAAATGTGGCACCAGGAAGTTTTTGGTGCCAGCTGCCTTACCCAGACTCTCTCCTGGGATGCCAGGCTTTCTAGTTGCTATGTTTCCAGGAGGACTTGCTCGGTGTCACACAAGGTTAGACTCCAGACCCTTGCAAGGGCAGTAGCAAGACTGTTAGTTCTTTACAGTAAGTAGTTCTTTATATAAGTTCCTGAAAATAAAGTGTTGTTTCCACATTACAAGCCCCCATCAAGATACTGCCACCAGCTCAGTTGCTGCTTCAGGCACTGGGTTCTGTGTTCAGCCAGTGGCTGTGGCTCTGGGAGAGTTAACAAGGACTCTGCCATCTTGGCAGCTGCATGGCATGCTCCAGGCTTGCTGCTTTTCCAGTGAAGGAAGTATCTTCCCTGCTTAAAATACACACCCCAATGTGCAGATGGGTGGACGGGCATGAGCGTAGCAATAGCTGAGTGGGAGTGCAGGGCCAGTGCTGGTGCCCCAGGGCCAGGGCCATCAGGGGCCCAAAGTAAGCCTTCAGGAGCGTGGGGCCTGGGCTGGTGGGGGCTCTATGGAACCAGGCTAGGCTGTGCCAGCAGGGAGAGTGGGGAGCCAGCCTGGCTCCACAGAGCCCTGGCTAGGCTGGATCCCACACTCCTACCACCCTGCTCTGGGCCCCAACCGGCCCTGGCCCTGGGGCACCGGCGTGGGCCCTGCACTCCCGCCTAGCTGTCACTGAGCTCGTGCCTGTCTGCCCGCCTGCTCGCTCCCGCCTGCCACCACCATTTCCCCACTTTCCCTTCTGCTGTGGTGCTTCTTTTCATGTGGTTTCTGGCACCGGCAGGGGCTCTAGGCAATGAGTGAGAGTGTACATGATTGTGTTTGTAGGGCAAGTCCCACACATGCACCCCACCATACATATGTACCCACTCCCGCTTCGCAGTGCCATAAATGCACACCCCATACCCCCTCACACGCCTCAGCTACTCTCCCTCCCCTTCCACACATGCCATAACCCTCCCTAGCCCTCCTCCCCCTGTTGTACAAATCCTATACCCACCCACACTCCACATATCTACACCTTCCCCGTATTGCCCCCGTATCCCTCCACAATATACAAATGTAAGACTTCATTTTTAGCTATTATACAATCACCTCTATGTACACTACACAAACACATGTCAATCAGGACAAAAATATTTTTTGAAATCAAATTAATGAATGTTGTAGATATTCGATTTTTAGAATATAATTTGGTATTTCTTTGGTTCCAAGATGGCAAACCCCCTTGCTGAAAAGAGTACTTTTGGTGGCAAAGGGAAGGATTTCTGGTGGCAAAGGTTGGGGGACTAGGGGGCAGGACTTCTGGTCCCAAGATGGTGACCAGGGAGCAGGGCACCTGTCAAGGGGCTGGGCTACCCATGCAGCCCTGGACAGCTTGCCAAAACTCAGTAAGCAGCCTTCCACCCAAAATAATTGCCGGCCCCTGCTTTAGACCAACACAGCTACAACCTATATCCTAGTTTTCCTTGTGGGTTTCTTATCATTCTTTGCTGTGCCATCAGTTTCCAGTGCAACAGGTGGATTTTTAAATTGCCTGAACCCTCTCTTTCTCTCATCTGCCCCACCTTGCAACATTTTTCAGTAATCTTTTTTTTTAAATGTCTTAAATATTTTTAGGAATATTAAAAAAAACAGGCTTTTTTATTTCTAGAAGTATTTTTTTAGGATGCTTAGGACTAGTTTCAGAGGACACTACTCCGAAAACACTCATGCGTGCAGTTGGTATAGGTGTACTGATACATTGGTCCCATATTGAATCGGAACTGATATGAGGAAAATTTAGAGTATCGGCAGTCTGATTTTGGCTGATGTGGCTGGGAAGAGCTTGGCGTTGCCCCTGGCCCCAGCCTGCAGTGGCAGCCCACCCTTGCCCCGTGCCCAGATTTGGGAGGGACATTTCCCCCCCGCATCTCCCGAATGAGCTGCAGCTCTGTCCAGTCCCCAGCCCCACTCCCACCCTCACCGCAGGGGCCTTGATCTGCCTCCTTTTCCCCCCCCTTTTGCCCCACAACAGACTTACCAGCTGGTTGCCGCTCTCCATATTGCAGTGCTGCATATTGGCTATTAAAAATTGGCCATTGGTATTGGCCCAAAAAGTCTCTATCAGTGCACACCTAACAGTCGGTAATATTTTTAATTTTGTAAGAAAAATGAACACAGTGAAACCTAAATCTTTCGTGTGAAGGCAGACCAAATGTAGATTCTGTGTGTGTAAATGCAAATGTAAAGTCAGTGTTTCCTCGAAGATGCTAATGGGTAGATCGTTGCTTTTACTAATTATCCAGAAAATATAGCACCATGGCTTTGATGTTGTTATAACTCTTGGCATGGACAAACATATACTTGGATAAGCTTAAGGGGAAAGGAAGCTGCTACTCAGGAGTGCCTACCAGCTGTTACTCCGTGTTTTGCGTGCCTAAATCACCCCAACTTTAACCCTGGATAAAACAAGAGTTACAATGCGAATGGTAACAGCTGCTAGATGGTCTGAAGTAGCAGCTCCCTCTTCTTTCTGTTTTGAAATCACTCCAAGTGTATGTTTGTCTTTACCCTGTTAATAGTGAAACTGAGTTTGAAGTTTCTTTGGCAACTGGTAAGTTTACAAGACATTTGCAAAAACTGTGCATGCAACGTAATCAAAGGGGTGCTGTGTATACTACTTATAAGCGGGATCCTGGTTTTCTCTGATTTTAAAAAAAATCCCCTATTTTTAGATTAAAATAAGTTACCCCAAATCAACATTTTTCCATGATTAAAATTAAATACTGCTATATATAGATAGATATCTCTATATCTATATATAATATCTGTATATGAACAGTTTCATTTTAATCATGCAGAAATGTGGATGTGGGGTTATTTTTTTATATTTGAATATTTGGGATTTTTTTTTAATTGGAGAAAACCAGGATCCCTTCTTTATAAGTAAGACTTCTTCAACATTTAGATCTATATTAGCTTACTTCTTTTTAAATACCATATTTCTATTTATTGAAAGGCTGTTTTGAATTCAACCCTCCCCCCCCCGCCCCCTTCCCCCCCACTGCAGCAGGAAAAGCAGTTCAGGGGGCGTGGGGTGGCAGTGGGGGAGGCAGTTGAGGCGGTATGGTGGTGTGGGGGAGTGTAACAACCTGAACCCTGCCCCTTGCCCTCCTACAGTTTGTCCCTGTCACCTGCCCCCCTGATCCAATCCGGCACGGCATCTCCCCAAAACCATCATTGGGTAGGTGGAACCTCCTGTGCACCTCTCTTTCCTGGAAGAGTATGGCAGGGGGACGGGGATAGGGACTGGACTGGGAAAACCTGCAGCACAAGCTGGCTGTCCTGCCTGCTTCAGGCTTATTGGAAAACCCTAAGAGTCGGGAGAATAGGTGCATGCTGCAGCCCTTCTGGGTTTGTCTGTGCATGAGGCATGTGGAGCACTATCACGTGGCTGTGGCAACAGCTCAGTACTCCTAAGAAGTTTCACAGCACCCTGGTTGAGAACCACTGGTATAGAAATATTTCAGATATTCCTTTGGAAATGGGGAGGAGTGGGGATTTTCTAGCTTCTGGTCATCTTTATCCTTATTCCTGGGCACTGATAAATCATCCTTGCTAGGAAGGAGTTTTCTTCCCTTGCTTATTATAAAGGAATTTTTTACAGCAGTTTCTTGCGCTTGTGGAATGCACCAGATGGCACGTTCTGCCTTCAGAATAAATGAAACTTTCCCAGGGGATGAAAACCATGTGTTTTGCCCTCCCTAAGGGCTTTATTTCATTTCCCCATTCTTGTGCACGTTGTTCAGTTGCCACGCTTGGTGCGCTTATGTATGTTTAGCCTTGTTTCTTGTTTGCTGGTGCAATACTGTTTAAAAGAGAGACATTACCCAAAAGTAAATTGTTTTCTTCCATAAAACAATCTTTGACTTTGTCAATAAATATTAATGTTTTCATTACCTCATGGCAGTGTTTTTGCTGCTCTGTTATGGCATATGGAACCAGTCTTGTGAAACTGAGTGTTACCTGGATTTAATTTTGAAATGCTAAAACCACTTTTTAAATTTTTAGTTTTATTAGCTCTCTGGGAGTGAGCTATATGATGTTGTGCACTGAAAATTACCCCAGTGTCCTGGCTTTCTGCTTCCTGGATGAGCTTCAGAAGGAGTTCATCACCACCTATGATATGCTGAGGACAAATACTGCCATCCGACCATACTGTTTCATAGAGTTTGGTAAGGATAAGACTTGTTTTACAGTAACTCTTCCCATTATGATCAAAGTTTACTGACTATATTGAGGAATGTACAACTTGGACAAAGACCATTCAGCTGAGATTGTTATATATGAATGTGATATCAGGGCCTGGTAACACTCATTGAATACAGTTGAAAAATTGACTTCACTGGGAGTTGAATCAGGCATTTAGAGCCTTATGTAAAGTTCATTGGGAGTCTTTCTATTACCTTTTGATAGGTTTTCTGTGTGAATGAATCCAGAGGAGCTTATCTTGCTAGTTGGTAATATATTATGACATGTTTTACTTTATACCCTTATCAAAATATTTATCTTACCAAGATATTGGTCTTTATAAATTTACAAAGTAGAAGACTGCAGTTTTTCACTGTTATAGTTGTTTATCCAGTGCAGGGAAAAGAGATTTTTATATTGCAGCTATGCATTGCATCTTCTCTAATTCAAGCTTCAAGTACAAATAATGCCACATTCAATTGAGAATGCCAATACCCCTTGCGGAATTGGTTAGTATCTGCAGTGGTTTTTAAAAATCCTGCCTTCTTTTAGAGACAAAGGAAACCTGTTCTGTGTGGTCTAATAAAATACTTTTAGACATTGAAAGTTATAGTTGTTTTAGAAGAAAAATGGTATATATTACATTTCGTTAACTTTCCAGTGCTTGATCAGTTGTTTTAAAATTTGCCCTATGTTATAGCTGTTACTGTCTTTCTTATGAAGAAGCTCTTGAACCTTTCCTTTCCCTATCCCTCTCTGTGTTTTTCCAGGAAGTTTGGGGGTACTTTTACTGTATTGCCACATTAGTTGTGAGGTCAGAAGATACTTCTCAGTGTTAAGATTTTGCAATTTAGGGCATTTTTTAGAATTAAGCAAGTTTATCCGTGACAAAGTGTGAACTCCTCTGCTTTTGTAAGAATATTTTCCAATTTGAAAGAAAAGCTAAACCAAGTGCAATAAATCCATTGTATAAGGACTGCATTCAGTTTCACACAGTGAAAAGCCATTAGTTTATTCACAGTTGTTAAGTAATTAGACTTCTAGAGTGTAATTTTTTATGTGGCAGAATTAATTAGCCTGTGATATATTAGTCATAAAATAGAAATAGTATTAGAATGTTCCAAGATAAATATAAGAATTTCAAATAATGAATTTAAATACGTGTATAAGAGAAATCTTTTGCCCGTAAAGCTGCATGGTCTTGAATTTATTTAATTAAAAAATGTCTATAGAGATATATTCTTTTAATTTTACACAGATAATGTCATCCAAAGGACCAAGCAGAGATATAACAACACACGGTCTCTATCGACAAAGATAAATCTTGCTGACATGCAGATGGAAATCAAGCTGAGACCACCTTATCAAATTTCTCTGTCTGAATTTGGTTCAGCTAATGGATTTGCGCATTTATCTGCTGTAGAATTTAAGGGTACCGGTAAGATACCTGCTGGTGAGTTTCATAGCTTAATTACATCTATCCTTGTATGAACCAAGAGTATGGCAATGCATTTACTTTTCTTTTTTCAAGTGAAATGATATAGGAAATTATGCCAAACCTCGTACTTTCTTAGATGCTGGGTTTGTATAAAGGACTGCTGTGTCATAGGAATCTGCCTCTTTCTTTGGAAGCTGTGACTTCTGTTCTAACTAATCATTCTTCCCCTGCAGCTTGCAGAGAGGAATGTGTTTGTTAAATCAAGGGCAGTTATCAATAGACACTGGTTTCTTAATGAAAATACACAGAAACATTTAAATAGATTTTCTTTCCTTTTTCTTTTTCCTATTTTTAAAGACTTCTAAATCAGCTAATGATTTATTTTATAATGGGAGCTGAGGACAACATGAACGCATTGTATCATTATGGATGTAATGTCATGATGACTACTGGAATCAGTGGGAGGAGCATTACTTAGGAGAGGTCCTTCACATTCAAATTCAGTGTAATTACCCTAATAATATTACATACACTTTACAAAGTGTTTGTGCCATGGAAATCACATCAGTAACAATATATTAGCATGTGTATGGTTTTTTGGGGTATTTTTTTACTTTTTAACCTGTTGTTAATTTCGCACAAGGAATAAATTACATAGAGTTGGATAATGACTTACCGTGGATGGGCATATGATTCTTGACTTGCGATATGAAAAGAACTCTCTGAAGCAATTCAGCTATTTCCCATTAGAATAGAAGAATTGAAAAGAAAAACACAACAGCCTGGTGCTAATGCATGGATTGTACGAATGAAATTGTCTAGAGGAAGTGAAATAGACCAGTCTAGTTTCAATCTTCAGGTTCAATGAAGCAAAAAATAAATAGAATAAATGATGAACATTTAAATAGAATAAATGATGAACATTTAAATACTAAATGTTCTTCTTTTCAAATGTCTCTCTCTCTTATGCTGGTCTGTCCAGGTAGATTTTGGTACCCACATGGGTCACTTTACAGGATTAGAGTAGAAAACAGTGACACAAATGCAAGCTTTCATTAAAATATTATAAAATTTAATGGGAAAGGTAAATTGTGTACCTTTTTTTTTAATATAAATTTTAATAGGGACCCTTTAATTCCCTCTTGTGCTAGATATGCATTTTTAATGATTAGCAAAAACACTTTGGCTTCTGTTACTAAGAATTTTCTCTCTACAGATTAAAAAAATGTTTTTTATTTAAAAAGAGGAGATTGCGGAGTCTTTGTACAGCATGTGCCTTAATGGAGCTCGGATTCTGATAGCTCTGTATGCTATCATAATACAAATAATTTATAATAATAATGATTACAACATGTTGGTGCTGGCAAAGAAAAAAGAACTAAGTTCTGCAAGAGCCAAAAGGGGAATATATAATAATGTTTAAATAATTTAAGTGCATGAAACCTTTTAAGAGATGCCACATACCTTTGCTAAATCATCCAGAGTGTTCTTAATATTATTGTTGACTAATGGAGAAATGTGGAAAACATTGTATTGAGAACCAGTACTCGTTGACATGTTCTATTCTTTTTTTAATAATTCTCCAGTGTCATGCTTTTATCATTTTGACACTTCTACCTTTTGTTTCTTACAAGTTAATCCTTTGTGATTTACTCAACAGCCTGCTGTAATCCTCTCTCTGGAAGAGGTTATAGTGTCACAAGTGGAAGCCAGAGATGGGAACAATCTGTGGTTACAAAAATACCAAATCTTTGTGATGTAGGTAGGCAGCATTATTATAAATAGATCATCCATCAAAAAAATTTAGATAGCACAAGGTGTTCACTCATTATATTACAATAGGAGATGCTCAGTGATGATATTAGTTTAAATTTAAGGAACATTTCCTTCTGGTTCCCATTCTTCCTTTCCTTTTGTTTTTCCTTATTATTGGAATTATTGGGCATCTTTACACCTGCTTTGGGGTGGGGGCGCTTTAATTACAGTGTTTCTTAGGAGCCGCTCTAATTAAAGCGCCTGCAGCATCTTATGTATTCAGCATGTATTCACGGAGGGGGTGCTTTAACTAAAGCTTGTTCAATGAGTTTTAGTTCAAGTGCCCCCACTGCCATTCTGAAGTGCGGGGATGCTGAATACACGAGATGCTGAGGCTGCTGGAGCTTGCTAATGAGCATGTTTCAGCAGACTCAGTTAATTGAGTTTGCTTTGACGCATGCTAATTGGCATGCGTTGGAGCAGGCATTGGGCATGTGTATAGGTGCCCATTGTTCTAGAGTCTCCCAACCAGCCACTTCCTCCAGTGCAAGCCTGAAGTGGGTTGAAGGGCTGAAGAAGTCTTCACTACCTGGTTGACACTGCTCAGTTATCAGACCTAGATTTTTCTCATTCCTGAAATATCACTTCTCATGATACAACTTTCCTTGCCCAGTGTCTTTCCCTGCTTCTGCTCTCCCTTTCAAACACAGGGCTTGCTGTGGGTAAATTATAGGTCTTAAATTACTTTAGGGAGTACAATTTTTCTTTGCCTAATTTTAAAATGAATGCCCTGGGAAGCAATGCAGTCTCTCAGATCTCTAGTATTTAGGGAGATATTCACTGTATAAGTTAATAAAAATAGTTTATGTAAAAAGACATGCCTGCACTCTAGTTGGAGGTGTACTTTTGGTTTTCTTGCTTTAAACTAGTTTGCTCAGTATTGCTAACTGTGTAGCTGCAGCACAAGGTGAGAACTTGCCTGGGAACCCAGGTCAGTAGTTGTATAGCTAGCTATGCAGAATCCTGCACTGCCACAGCTGCGCCTTTGTTAGCTAATTGAAGGCTAGCCCTGTTATTTCCACCTGAGCTGCAATCACATCTTTCACAACAGCTTAGACCTACCCTGGTAAAAAAAGAAATGAATAAAAATGCCTCATAAGTAGTACATAGCCAAGATAACTTTCTAGGAGCCACTTCAAGCCCCCAATTAAATTAACCGCTATATACTTGAGCTGTAATGCAGTGTCAGTATACAAGTTAGAAGAGTGTTTGAAAAAATGAGAATGGCTATAATGTAGCAGGGCAGGAAAATATTTAAAAAATGTGAAATAGTTCCCTATAGGAAACTTAAAAACGTTTGATATCTAAACTTGTATGTTCTTTACCCTTTGGCATTGGTCCAGGACAATCATCTCTTATTAGATTTGGGGAGTTAATAACTTCCATAGGAGGCTCAATCTTGCAGCTATGGTAAAGCTGTCTTGCCACCTGTAACTGTCCTTCCAGATTTTTTTTATTCATGTATTTGCTTTTTGGCACTTAGCTGCTTTGCTGCTAGAATATGCAATTGTTTGAGACCTTAGTAACTTCCTGAACTTAGTAACTTTAATAATGGTGTTGGGTGTCCATAACTAGATTTGGGTTGGTTGTTAACTAGACAAACGAGTCCTTTAAATGTTGACCTCTTTTACCTTAAAGTGAGAGAGAGGTTAAAAAAGGTCTGATGCTTGAGCACAGAATAGGTAGTTTGTACTGACTTCATAGTTTCATAGCGCTCTGGGTCGGAAGAGACCTAAACAGATCATCAGGTCCGACTGTCTGTGTATTACTTACCCCCATTTTTGTGCGCTCCCAATGCAGAATTCATCACTGGAATACTTGAGAATTTTTCACCTCCCTCCCCTTTTTTTTTACTCTCAAAAGTCAGTAGTAATGCATAAATGTAACCCAATTATGTGACTTTTGATTATATGTAGCATATAAAATTTCTGGTCCCCATAAAAAAGAATTGGTTTGAAAACTGAGTAACTGAAGGAAGAGAAGTTTGAATGGAAATTGGCACCCAAGCTTAAATGTTTGTTGTCAGTACTGCCCGTGATATGTCTTGTGGTTAGAGTAGAAGTAAGTTTATGAAAGTTAAGCTTCAGGATGTAGTTTTTGTTTTAAATAGCTTCTACCTGATTATATTAAGCCCTGATTCCTTTACAAATTAGTTATACTAAAACATAAAACTTGAGCATACTAAAATTTAGACCACAAAAGCATACAAACAGTGTTATATATTTAACAAGGAAAAGTAGTTTTTGTAGGTTTTTTGTGGTTTCTTTAACTTTATGAACTGTTTAGAGAGTCTTTCTGCTGCATCTGTTCAGTGCAAACAATCAAGATTGACACCCCCTCTATATTAATGTTACAGTTCATTAACTTCATTGTTTGCACCTTTACACTTCACTGATTTAAACAGAATGATTTAAATATGGTTCAGTAATCCTTTTGTCACCCAGTGTTGCCTAGACCATTATGAATTTTGTCTTGGGTTTTTCATATTTGGCTTCCGTTCTTAATTGTGGAAGAGCATAGTGATGACTGAAGCACACATTTACTACGCATTGCAATCATTTGTGTAACTGTGGCCCCTGATAAGCACAAATGAGTGTACATGTGGAAAGTAATGTGTTTTCAGGTTTAACTTGTGCCAGGGGACACTTCCAAATTTCATATCAAGCTGCAATATGCATACTGCCTACATAGTTCCAGAATGTATTTATTTCTACCTGCGGTAACATTTACAGGCCTGTGTGCTTTGTTGTAGGGGCAAGTAATGGCTTTGCTTTGCAGCCTTCTGTTCAGCAAACAAACTAAATCAGTCCTGATAGCTCTAACTAATGCATTAGTGTTAAAGAAAAGTGGAGGTTGTGAGAGGAGCTCTTAAGTACGTGACTTATTAGATGGTTGCTAATTGTGGACGAATTTTACCAGCAAGTGCATTATTTGCTATTGATTTACTGGCATGTTTGAGCAGCCTTCAGTACTGTGCTGAATAAACAGGATATATCAAGTTAAATTTCTTTTAAAATGACAGAGAAGAACATTAGTTTTGCATTTAATTGACACAGAGCACATTTTGTCAAAACCTTGCATTGATGTCTTAAAAAATGCTTTGTGTGGTGTTCTTTTTAGAATTTTAAATTTACATGTTTTGGTTTGCAAAATTCAATTGCATGTGTTTGAGGAGGAAGAAGATATTGAAACACTGGATTAATACTTTTCTAAAATTTGTGGGAAATGAAATGCTTTTACCAATTTCAAAATGCTTACTATTGTTTTTTTGGGTTTTTTTATATGTGCCTTGCAGCTCCTCATCAGCGACTGGAACCCTTGACTTTGCCAGGGATTGTCTCATTTATACTTAGCCTGTTATGCGGGGCTTTGAATTTAATTCGAGGCTTTCATGCCATAGAAAGCCTTCTGCAGGTACTGTACAACATTTATAAGTCCAAGGAAGAGTAATTTGAAATATCAAACTTGTCAAGTTTATACAAAATGTCAATCAAAATAACACCATATAAATTGTTTATGAGCCAAATTCTGTTTCACCTTATTCATATGAATATTCCTATTGATTTCAGACCCAGTCTGCATGTTTTATAGCCATTATTGAGTGAGACTTTTCAAAGGCGCCTAAGGGAATTTGAATATGAGTGGCAGACTTCCTTAGGTAGGCCGGCAGTAGTGAATATGTGGCGATGGAGTGCTGTTCTCTAAATTCCTTCCATGACTTTACACTTTAAAAAAAAACCCACACTTTTATGGGTATCAACTATGCATAATGCTTGAGCAGCAAAGTTTTGAAAATCTAGCCCATTGTCTGCAGGGGTCCACAGAGGAGGGATGTTTTGAAGGATTTTTATAGCCAGAATGTTTGTTCCCTCCAGAATAAAGAGAGAAATAATGTACATAACATTTGTTTCTAAACAGTTTTGTCCCTCAGTGGGTTTCCCCATAAACGATGCTTTTATTTGATCTCGCAGTCCATGACCTTACAGTGAATAAGATTTTTTTCTCTTTCTCCCTTAAGCTTTGTTCCCACTGATAGTAGTTACTAAATAGAGGACTACGTCATGAAAATGATAGGTCTTCCTTTGGAGTAGATTGTTACAGTTTGTTCAACGATTATGGTGCCCTGGCAGCATATGCTAGCCAAAGGTTTGCCCCAGTTAATGTTATACCGAGGGTCCACGATGGTGATTGTTCCAGTGGAAAGGGATGATCCGGTGGTGGTTTGCCAAAGGAGTTAGGGGGGAATCCTAGAGTTTTGCCCTGCATAGATCCACTCAGTATAATAAGTTTTGGCATCTAAAATTTGGATGAGAGTTTCTTCAAAATTGCAGCATTATCAGTATTTAATGCACTTGAATACAATTTAATGCACCAAGTTGCCTTATATCTTTTAATGTACTATATAGTTATGTTTTGTATGCATATTTGCATATTAGTTTAAACACTGACAATTAAGACCTAGGGCATTTCCTGAAGACTAATGAATGCATTGGGGGAGGTAATGAAAATACCCTGTGAAAAGGTCATTGTTGTTATAAGAAATTAAAATGAAAAAATGCAAAGAAGAAGAAAGATGTATGAAATTTAACATGGCATTTCTAGAGAATTAATGCCTGTTGATTCAAATTGTATTTCACACACATGTAAACAATCTCCTGAATTCACTGGGTATATAAATATGAATGAATGTAAAATATAGCATTAGGCAAATGATGTTAAATAGAATTTCACCACTTGTATAATATTTCTAGTTCTTATCTTTGTTTTTAAAAGATGAGAGCTGTGGAAGCATGTGCCAGTGTTGGAGGGACAGATGGCAGTTCATGGTGAAATGTAGTGACCATGCTTTATTTTGAGTAAATCCTCAATGTAAGAAATGAAGAGTACTTTAACATGGAATAAATCCATGAAAGACAAGGCAGGAGTCATTAATGTGTTATGTGGAAGTTTAACTTCCGAAAAAAAGAAACTTTAATGCAAAAGCTTCCTTCTGAATTTAAAACACACTTTAAATAAGTGATTCATTTTGGAGTTGGCAAAACTATGTGATAATCTGTAGGTATGCTTCACTGAATGCTAGCTGAGGGCGAGCTGAGGGTTTTTATATTTTCTTGAAGTGTTTTGTCCTTGTAGGTAGGTTTTGTGTGTCGAACTATAGGCTTTTTCTTAGCCAAGGCTACAGATGCAAGAACTGCCGACAGAATATGTTGTCAGCAGAGGAGCTGTAGTTCTGAGTGGACCAGCTGCCTTTGGAAATAGGCTTCTCCTTCCAGAAAAAGTTGTTTGCTGACTGCCTCTCATTTGTCTGGGAGTGTTTCTGATTATGACAGATGCTTGTTTGAAAAACCTGAAAAATGCAGTCTGCAATAATCTGACTGACATTTATTTTGCTCAGCTTTCTAGAAACTATTAAAACATGTTTGAATAATTGAGAGACATATGAGCGTTTGGGGAAGAAACCCTCAAAGTGGAAAGATCTGTCATTTTAAATGCATCTTCCACTTAGAGAACTCAGCCTTCTCCTAATATTGCTGTTTACACATAATTGTTTTCTACTCATGCTTTGCTTTGTTTTATCTTCCACGAATACAGGTCTGACTGCATTGTTTTCTAGGTATGATTTTGGCACACTCTAGTGGACACTTTGTATTTTCCATTACCTTTTGACAAGTTTGAAGATGCAGTTCTACAAAGTTGATATTGGTTATAGTTCCTAGTATAAAAGCTGGGATTTTCAAAGGAGATAAAGATGGCCAGAGCTACAGAAGAGTCTCTGTTTGGCACATCAGAAATACTGGCGGTAGTTGTCTGCTGTGCTAAATAGAAAGGTTAGCAAGAAAAATAACATTAGAATTTTCTGGACCTGGTAGGTTTCAGTTTGTGGATCTTATTTAACTTGAGAAATAAATAAGCAATGCCTTCTAGTTTCTTCAGTTTGCTTTTAATACAGGAGGTCATTTAAAATTTGCATATCAGATTATGTTTAATTAGAACTAGACTCTTTTTTTTGGAAGCAGTACATATTGTGTGAACTATGCAGTTGCTAAGACACTGGCTTGTTGCTTTTCTTCCAGAACGAGGGGGAAGATTTCAGTTACGTCATTGCATTTTTCCTTGGAACAGCAGCCTGCTTGTACCAGGTAGGTTCATCCAGTTGCATGTTTCAGTTAGGCACAAATACCAGATTTTAAATGGTGTATATTTGTGGGCAGCAAGACTAAAAATAATCCCTTCTCTCTCTTACGCTCGTAGTGATGAGCCACTGTAGCATAGATTCCTGCCTGCATCCTTTGTTCTACAAACAGCGGCCGAGACATTGTCTTTTTGCAGTTAGAAAGGTTGGGATATGCTTGTCTCCTTCCCGGAGATGTTAGAAGTGCTGCGTGACCCAATTTTATAGAATCATAAAAGTTAGAGGTGAAACAAACATTTTTAGGCACTCAGTTCACATTTTGCTCATGCAAATGTAGGATTTTTTCTCCAGCGCTGCATCCAGCTTATCTGTAAAAGTACGATTTGGGAAAGAGGTAGTTAGCTGTGTTAGCCTGAAGTCAGGCAGAAGGCATGGTAGAGATGCATCTTGTAAACTAACTGAATCAGAGATGCGTAACCTTTGTAAGAGCTCATCAGATGCATCTGATGAAGTGAGCTTTGCTCATGAAAGCTTAAGCGACTAGGTCCCATTGCTTCCCCAGCATGACTCCTCCATGGCTTAATACAGTTTGCTATCTGGAAGATTTCCCTGACATGCAGCCTACGCTCTCCCTTCCTCTGCTCTGTTCTACAGTCCCATAATTATGCTCTTTCTACACCCCCCCAGTGATTCCTGTTCTTTGACATTTATACTCGTCTTATAGTAATCTAGCACCATGTCCTCTTGCTCTTTGTGGTGTTGTTCAGCTAAGCTATGTATAGTTTACATTCTTAATCTTTCCATGTGAGCCATTTGTCAAAGCCCCTTCGTAGTTTTTATGGCTCTTTGAATTCATACTAATTTATTTAAGTCGATCACTTCATCATTACCCAGTGCCAATGCTCTCTTCCATTGCTGGATAGCCTAATTTATCTATTTTGGCTCTTAAGGGCCTTGCATAGATAAGCATATGATTTTTGCTGTTAGCCAGATGCTTACATTTATTGAACTTCATGCTGTGACACCCTGTCACTGTGCTGGATTTTACCGCTACCGTTTCAACCTGTCCTTTGTCCAGGTCAGCCTTAATTTATGTTCTGTCTTTTGCGAGTGCAAATAACTAGGGACCTACTGAAACTGAGATGGCAGGCAGCCCATTTCATGGGCTGATTTGTGGGGTGGGCTTATTATAGCGGGGTCCCACCCCCCACCTCTGGCCGAGGGGTCCGGTGGTCCTGCCCCTCGCCGTTGATTGGCTGAGAAGGCTGTCTGTTGTGTGGACCTGCCCCTCTCTGCTAATTGGTTGGAGGGGCTTTCTGTCATGCCGCCAGGTTTTTTTTGCTGGCATTTTCCCCTGGTCCAACCTTAAGTAATATGTCAAACCTTGCTAATTTTGTGTGTGAGCAGTCTGGTTCCATTTGGACCTCATCCTTCCTTTTATATGTTCTCCTTTCTGCAAAAATAATAATAATTGAAAAAACCCAAAAAACCCTCCTCGTTTCCGCCCGTTTCACGTACTGAGAACTGCTCGTCTTTGCACCTTCTTTTCTGTGTATTGAAGTTCCTGACTTGTTGCCCATTTGCATGGAAGACAGGAAATGTTTCAGAGAGAGCTACCATAAAAGCTCAGGACATCAATCTTTTGCTTGAGTTACACATTTACAAGTCCATACGATTGGACTTGTATGGAATTAGGAATGTTTTAGTCATAAATAGTAACCTAACACCAAGTGTATAACAAGAAAGAGAATGTCCTTTACTCCCTGTTGCTTGGCAAAGGACAAACACAAAGGGCTGCACCCAGAAATATGTTGTACTGGAAAAGGAAGGCCTCACTCTAGATTTGGAATTTCTTTTCTAGTTTTGATTATCAAGAATCAGAGTAGGAGCATGCAAAGATAATTCACAGCATTTTCATGGGTGTCAGCAACAGAGGGGTAATCTTGATTGGCAAATTAAAACTGAAAATACTGTACAGTGCATGCTGTATTAAGCTTTAACACAAAATCACTAATAATCTGTCTGAATCTTCATACATGGTAAGATGTTGAGGAAGATGTACAAAAATAATCAAGGTCCTACAGTTGCTTTGTAATCGGCTGTTTCAGCTATAATCAAAACTGTCCATCTCTGGCCATTCTTACAACCCAATTGCAAGTTTTTAGTTTCAGGCAAGTGTGGTCAACACTGGTGTTCATTCTTTACATGCATTTCAAATAATGTAAAACTTCAAGATGCCTGCAAAGAGTCTCTCTAAACTATGTGGACTTTCTTTTTGGGATTTGTTATAATAATTCTGATTTTTGTACATTTGGGTATAGCGTGTATCTACTTTCAGATGCGCCTTTCTAAGTAAAATCTTTAAGGTTTTGTGTTCCCTGAAATCAGTTTACTCATGAATCTAAGTGTCATCTGTGATTTATCCAGTTCCAGCAGGATAACTACAAAAATTGTAGTTTATCGCTCTATATTGCAAAATAAAAACAAAATGTTGCACTGATAAAAAAGAGTAGCAATATAATATTTTTGAGGGAAAACTAGCTGTGGGATTAAGGGCTTCAGTAGAGCATCCAGGAAAACCAGAAATGTCTGTTTCGGTAAATCTAGCGTCTGAAAGATTGTTTTGGCATTATTTTGCATTTTCTATAAGTTGAACATGAATCTCAGTTTTGTCCAGAACAAAAGAGGACCTGGAGTCTCAGGACCTGGCTGTGGAGTCATTTCTTAAGTGTTGCAAAAACTTGTGGGCTCTCAAGTACCACAGGGAAACTGTGCGCTTTGTAATTGCCATAGAGAGCAGTTCCCTTCAAACAAACCTATTCAAGAGTTTCCTCTGCTGTGGTTCATAAATGGAAAATTTCTTGCTGCCTCAAAACGAAAGACTAATAGAAAATTCAGCTCCACAAATCCAGTAAGGCAAAGAATCTTCAGCAAAAGCCTTCAGGTTTTTTGGCACCATCATCAAATAGCACATTGCACTTGCATTTTAAAAAAAAATATAATTGCTAAACCTTTGTCCCCCTTAGCACTTTTTCATTAACCTTTTGAGGAAAGCATATCCTGACTGTTTTGGTGTTTTTGAAACTACCATGCTTGGATCCTTGTACTCTGGAAACTTAAGGGGTAGCTTTGTGAAACAAATTGAATTCTTTTAGGCAATATACTAGTACTGATTGTTTTTTTAAATGTTAAAACCTACAAAAATAGTCCATAGATGTATTGCTGTCACTGAGCAGAGCATGAATTCAGAGGAACTCGAGATGGATTATAAAACTCTCTGCTGTTTTGGCCTTTGTTTCGTATGGAGGGGGAAGAAATCTTACCTGATCCAGGCCCATACCTTAAAGGTATTGATTGATTACCACCACCTTTGAGGATCTGAGCCAAAGAAGTTAGAGTGACTGGCACTTTATAGATGACTAGCATAGTGAACAGGTTAGTGAAATATCCAAGAGCACAATAAAACAAACCCCCTAATAAAGGGGGGTAGTCACACGGGCTAGGGACAGATGTAGTCACACGGGCTAGGGACAGAAGATACGCATAAATTGGTTTAAACCTGTAACAAAACAAGTTCAGTGCGCATAGACCAGTTTCAAAATGGCTGAAACTGGTTTAAGATAAACCTGGTTGAATGTAGCATCAGACTGAACTGATTTGGTCAAACTGGTTTATGAAACGTCTGTCGCACACCCCTTCCTGTTTCAAGTTAAATCACAGTCCCCCAGCATGCTTTGCAGCCCTGGGCTGGGCTATCTGCTCTAACAGAGCAGGGCTGGCCCCGCCCCTCTGCTTCCTAGCTGAAGCAGTGAGGGCTGGCTGACAAGGAGATGGGGGAGGCAAACCCAGCAAGGGATGCAGCCCAGTCTGCAGGGGGGTGGGGTAGGACTGCCTCCCCCAGGCAAACCTCGTGCTGGGGCCAGGGAGGGGGGTTAAACACCACTTCCCCCACTCAAACTTACTGCTGGCTGTGACTGGACTACAAATCCCAGAGGCACCTGGAAGCAGGAAGAGGAAGTGATAATCAACCCTGCAGAGTCCTGGTACTGTGATTCAGGACTGCAAATTCCAGAGGAATTCTGGGGCAGCAGGAAGAGGAAGCGAACACAGCCCATACTGTCTATTTGCCAGAGAGCCGTGCTCTAGCGCTGCCTGGCTTCTGGCCTGAGCCACTGCAGGCACGTGGCTGCATTTCCTGAATCAAAAGTAAATGTGTGTCCAGCTGTTTCTCAGTTTCATCTCTGCAGCTTAAACTAACCTGCAAAGACTGAATCGATTCAGCCTCAGGCTTTTTGACTGTCTGGACTTAGCCACAGTGTCTTGGCTGTTCCTGTGAAACTTAAAAATCCTTGGTGTTATTTGTTGGGGTCAGAAGTGCAAATGAAAAATAGTGAGAACAGGGCTTGGATTGCCTTATATAAACAGTGTCAAACTCATCTGACCCCAGGACTAAATGAGTGGCGCAGGGCCAGTTCACTAGCCGAATCAGTGTCCACGGGCCACCCCCTGCATCTCGCACTCGCTCTGGGATGCCGACCTGAGGAGTCACCATGTACAGTTTGCTTCCCCTGGCCCTGTTTTGGGGGGGGGCTAGATTTTGGGGCTCTATAGGCAGGTTCCCACCTGTGGGCCATATCTTTGACATGCCTGCTATAAACGGGTCACAGTCCTGCTTTCACAAGGAGTTGTCTGTCTCGGGGCAGTGCAGATGGGGTGACCTGCAGATTGAATCTGGCCCATGGAGCCCTTTTACAAGGTCTGCAGACCTGGGGGGCTTCTGTGGCTTTGCAGTTCAGTGTTTGGGCAGTGGGGGGGGGCTTTGCCCATGTGGCAGCTGGGCAGTGGGAAGAAGCAGCAGCAGGGAGAAGTGGCAGCAGCTCTGTTGAGGGTGGGGGGTGGTTGCACCTGGGCCGGCAGGCGTTGGAAGTGGCCCATGCTTGGAGCTAAGCTCCATTAAAGCAGCCCCTTGCTGCAAAACATGGCCAGCCTGTGCTGCAGAGAGAAAAAGGCCAAGCCACTTTTTCATCAGCCTTGATGCACAATGTAAAAAATATTTGGCTAATGGAAATACTGGTAGATTAAATCCATAAGAAAAAGGCTGTCCAGAAGCTGAGAGAATATGTCACACAGTAATGCGAATAAAAATAATGCCTTTGAGAGAATGCTGAACAAGTGTACCTTAAAAAGGTCAAAATTAGACCATATTGTACCTATTGTATAAATAACCTTTAACTGACTGGAAATATTTCCATGACTCACTCACTCTCTCTCTAGATTATATATAGATATCTATCTATATATATCTATATACACACTGTTTTTAAAGAAACGCACAAATACCTTCTTGCGAGTGTTTTCAAACCTTGGAATTTCAGTTTTCTTCTCGTTCCAATGTACAACAAACAAAATTGAGTAGCGAGGAACGTGCTCCTGACAAGGAATTTTCTTTATTGTCCCAGCTGAGAGCAATGCAAAGAACAAACAAAGAGCATAAAGATTTTTAAAAGCCTTCCACTTAGATCAGCATCACGCTGTGACATCTCAAACCAAGGCTCAATACTGATCTAAAATCATCAGCCTCTTGCTTTTGATGGCAAGAACTTAGTGCGTTCTTATATTAGTCTGTCTGCAGAGGTGCCCAGCTTCCTGGTTTGCAGCAGAGCTGTTGTAAGTTGTGGAGCATCCTGTTCCTCTTACAAGACTGGCATTTTGTGTGTTGGGTTTTTATTTCCCCTTTCCCTTTTGCTTTTGAAACCTTTCCATTCCATCCTGGCATGGTTCCTTGCGTGTCTCAGCACCTACTTTTAAGTGGCTTTACTCTGTTTTCATATGGCTGTATGCTGCTTGGCATCTGCATATCCTAGGCGTGCCAGGGGATGCTCTGCCCTGATACTTCAAACAGCAGCCAGGCAAAAGATCCTGTGGAGCATCATAGATCTGAAGACCCTAGGCAGTATGCCCCTGAGATGAAAACAAAGCAGCTTTCTGGAAGAGGAACAGAGACAAATGGGGAAGAAGAGTAGATGGTAGGAGCTGTGAAAATCAGTGGAGCAGGGGACAGAGTTGTGGAAGAGGGGGAAGGTATTTGTGAAAAGGGGGCGAGTTTAGCAGACGGGAGATTTGGACCTTACAATGTTCTGGAGCAAAGAGGGATTGGGGATGGATGATTTGCTGGGGTTACAATTTTACTCTTACTCTTTCCCTCTGTAGTCAAAAGTAAATAGGCATTTTAATCCCACTGTCTGGCCACATTTAAATGTATTCACTAGAAGCCTTATTAAAGGGTAGGTTGAAGAGAAGGAAGTTGTATGAAAAGCAGCTCCCTGGACCACTTAGACTTCCCTGATTTAATGCCCTCATCGCTGGGTAAAAAGCTTGAGATCCTTGTGCCAGCTGGGCATAGCTGCAGTCCCCTGTTCTCTGAGCAGTCCCTGACCCTGCTCCCCGCGCTCAGAGCAGCACGGGTTGGAGGCATTGGAGTCTAGTATACCATTTTTACTTGTGCTAAGAGTATTCCTCCAAACAGGAGATCTGCCTGGCCTGAGTGCCCCAAAACCAGCACGTTAGGCCATCTGTAGACCAGCCAGAAGTATTAGTCTCCATTGCCATGGACCTGTCTCAGTAGTGCTTGTAGTCAGCCAGTGTGATGAAGAAATCTCCCACGAGAGATTAAAGGAAGCAAAATCTCACCTCTCCGGATGTTGAGCAGCTTTCACACCTGCTCAAGTTTGTACTGCATATACGTACTGGAAAAAAAAAAGTTCTTCGTGTTTCATTTCTGCATCTACTGAGACGGTTTGGTGTGGCTCATTAGCAGAAGCTGTTTTCTCTGCAGTGAACCCGTGTTTCTTTTTTCTTCTTTGCAGTGTTATTTATTTGTGCATTACACGGGCTGGCGGAACGTCAAATCCTTCCTGAGTTTCGGTTTAATCTGCCTGTGCAACATGTATCTGTACGAACTGCGCAATCTCTGGCAACTGTTTTTTCATGTGACAGTGGGAGCATTTTCAACGTTGCAAATACGCCTGAGACAGCCGCAAGGGAAGTCCCCTGATTACAACGTGTGATGCACATCCTGGGATACCTCAAGGCAGTCTGGTTCCAACTCAACTACTTTTCCCCTCTCAGGAATGCAAAGCTTTTGTCCAAAAGAAGCGGTTTTCTGGATTTTTTTTAAAGCAACACAAGATGCCTGTGGACATTTGTGACTTGAAAGTTAAACTTGTCCTCCAGGAAGAACTAAAAATGCAAAAGAATTCAGCACTAATGGAGGAAAGAGGGTCCTACCCATGCAATTAAAAGTTTGAGGACAAATAAAAGTTTGGAGAACTTGACTGATGGCATGAAGTAGTCTCATTCAAAAATATGATAATGGAAAAGATGTATATAGTGCGTGTCCTGCATATCAAGGGAGCGCTCTAGTTCCAGAATTGGTTTTGCCTTTGTGAGGCAGTAGTATAGCTAAATAAAAAGATGCTATTACATATTAACAAACTATATTTGGAATGAGTGAGTTACGAAATGCCAGAATATTGGATTGCATATTAAATTTGATAGGATGTGTGTGTTCATTTTCTTAATTAAGACCTAACTTAGAAACCATCTGTTTACAGGGATTAGTTCATTGGCCCCAGTGGCCCTTCATCTAGTGCTGTGTTAATTATAAATACTGGTACATTGGTTTCTCTGTATAATTTGCTTTTAATGATCTTTTGAAAGTAACTTGAATAGGCAGGTTTTTAGTAACAATTGAAAATTCTGCCTCTTACCCCACAGGTCTTACTCTCTTTGTCTGTTTGCTTGCTGAAAGGTTGAAAAGAAGTCAGACTAATTGACAAACGGGGTGATATGCAACCTGCTTGACACGTTACTCTCCTTTTATGAGATCGATTGGTGGCTGAAACTTGGCCCAATACATAGGCAGCTAGTAGCAGTCTTCCTTCCAGTAATGCACACCAAGTTTAGCTAGGGAAAAAAAAATCCATCTCTAGTCTGGGGATTGTTTTTGTTTTTGTTTGGTGGCTTTGCATTTTATAGAATTGGAGTGAAACCCAGCTAATCCATATTAATAGCTGCTGTAGATTCCTGGAGTTTACAAATGTAGTCAGCAAGCGAACATACCAAAAACATGGAAACGAGGACAAGGCCCATACATTTTATTTTGACAATTATCTTGTGAGTTTGAATTATTTATGTTGCTGAATAGCATAATAGTAAATGCACTTTAGTATAGTCCACACATGTAACAAGGTGTGGTAATATGCCTCTTCACTAAAGCATTTAGTGAAGTTTTTATAGACAACACTGCCATGTTACTTTTTGGAGATGTATGATATTCTTGTGAACAAGCAGTTCTTGACTTACAATTTTTTGAGTTGCAGCAAACGGCACTTAAGACCATTATAAATTTCAACCTGTTTTGAGGTTCGGATGCTGATTTTGATTTTACAATGCTCGACACGGCTGCCTCCAGCTGGTAAGTCTGTTGTGGTGGTGGTGGAGGGGGGGCAGATCAATGCCCCTGCAGCGAGGAAGAGGTTGGGATTGGGGCTGGGACGGGGCTGCCCAGCCAGGACGTGGGGGGTGGCTCCCCTCGTCCAGTGGCTCTTGCGCTGTGCGCCACTGGTCTAGGAGGGCATGGGGGGGGGATGTGCCCCTGGATCTGCACAGGGTGTGTGGGGCCGGGGCTGCACCAGGTTGCACTTTGGGCCAGCCACAGAAGGTGCTGCAAGCAGGGGCTATGCCCTCCCACCACTTCCACAGCTGGAGCCACTGTGGTGCCTCCAGACAAGTGGTGCGCAGCAGCGGGAGCACCCCCGGCCTTTCCGTGCCTCCTGGACAAGCCGTGGCTTTGCCCCGCCCTGGCCAGGTGAGTGGCAGCAGTAGTATGGCATGGTGGGGGGTGCCTCCAGATCTGCGCGAGGTGGGCAGGGCCGGGGCTGCGCTCTGGGTGGGGGTTACAGCAAACTTTAGGGTGGCTGCAGCCCCCCCACAACCCCCACTCCGCCACCCACTCTGCCCTGATTCGGGGGCACATGCCTCCCCGTGCCGTGCTGCGGCCACTGCTTGCCCAGCTCGGACGGGATGGGGGAACGACGCAGGTTGGAGGTGCAGGGAGGCCGGGCTGGCTGCCCCCATGCCCTCCTGGACTGACGATGTACAGCGGCGAGAGCCGGCAGACGGGCAGGTCCTGGACCGGCGGTGCACAGCAGCAGGAACAGCCCCCTGTCCCAGCCCCAATCCCTCCCTTGCTGTGGGGGCATTGATCTGCTGGAGGTAGCTGTGTCGATTGTCGTAAAGAAACCAATCCCCCGTTTATAACGTTCCTATGGCAAAGCTGGCACCGAGTTACGACGTTTCGACTTAAGACGCGGTGTTCAGGAACTAATTGTGTTGCAAGTCTGAGGATGGCCTGTATCTTGAAATGTTGCTTGTGGCAGATACCTTGGAGCAGGCCCCACCAAAATAGTTTTCCTTGCTAATTAATTTGGGAACCAGACTGATGACAAGGCATCCTGGTTTTCTCTGTTAAAAAATCCAGAATTCTCTGATAAACCCATCCAACATTTTCTGGTTAAAAACCCCAAAATCTGCATTTTTCCACAAAGGCCATTTTATATAAAATGATATATAGGTATCAATTGAACACAGTGTTTTATGACTATATTTACCATTTTAAAGCAGTTTGGAAGCTTACCAGTGCCCCAATCATTATTATAAAATAAATTCTAAATACCTATAGATTTTGGCATTTGATTTTGGTTTTTTTGATCATGGAAAATCAGAGCTCCCCCCTGCCCCTTTCACTCATCAGGATGTGGGTCCAGCTGCGGCTGTCCCTCCCGCTGCTTTGTGATGCTGAGCAGCCCTGATACACTGGTGCCCTGCCCGTGCCCCTCACTCCTGACCTGCAGCCCCCTGGCTCTGTAGGTGCCCTGTGCCCTGCTGTAGGTGCAGAAATCTGGGGGGTGGGGAGGCTTGTGTCCCCCCATGCCTCCCCCACGTGTTGCCTATGGGCCTGATGCCTCGCCACCCTCCAGACTTACCTGCAGGAGCTGCTCTCCACCACGCTGCCTGGCTGCATTGCTGGCCGTGTCCATGTGTGCGTGCACATGCACGTGTCCCCCTGCCTCTGCTCGCCCTCCTCCTGCTCCCCCCACCCCAGCCCCATGCAGCTCCTTGCAGGCTGCAAATCCACCATCCTGCGAGAGGAAACTGCGGTTTCCCAGGTTCTTCTTCCTTAAAGGGGAAAAGTTGCGTTTTTCCATGGGAAATGGCAAACCCAGATCCCTGCTGATGACAGAGAAAAAAATACCCAGGCTGGAAATTTATTGTTTCTTTTTAGAGAAGGTAATCTTAATTAAGAGGATTCAGGTGCCTAAAACCAAGATAAATTATAGAGAATAACATCATAGTCCTAAATGATTGGCAGTGGTATGTATTGTATGACGGTGCTGTTTATTATTAAAGTCTGTTATGAAAACCTATGCAATTAAGAGCGTAAAGATGGCTTAATGCACATCGTGTCTAAGGTTGATGGTATGTAGTTGTATTTTGTCTTTCAAATCCTTTAAAATTTGTCCAGAAAATAGAAAGGAAATGCATTCATCTTGCCTTATGTGCTCTTAGTATGACACTTTGCTACTATTTGGGGGTAAAATGCAAGAGGGTGTTTGCAGGAGTACATGAATTTCTATCTGGTTTGTTTTTAGAGAATATTGAACCCTTAGTATTGAAATACCCAGGCTACTCATTACTAAACCGAGCTCTTTTAATAGTTTTTCAACTGTTAGTTTTTCAAATCCGGTATTGGTGTGTTTAGGAGCGCTCCTTTCTCTGTTGGCACGCTCCCGTGCTCCTCAAACTCTGGATTAAAAAAAAAAATTACACATATAATGGCAATATATATTTGGGACCCAGAGATGCCAACTACAGGTTCTTCCATTGTCTTCATAGGATCATGCACATGTGTTTATGCTCTGAAGTTATAGCATGAAGTTCACCTCCAAGCATTAGGCAAGCGCTGCTCAAGTGCCTTTGGACCCAATGTTGATTCCTGGAAGCTGCAGACGGGTCCTGTGCTGCTCTGCAGGGGAGTAAATCCCACCCACGGGGGATCAGTTTAAGGATTTGCTTCATGCCCTGGAAGAGAGCCCTAGGGAAGAGGTCATGGGGAAATAATTATAAGGACTCCTATAGGAATTGGTGGGAGTACTAGCATGAGTGCAGAATATTTAGATGAATTAGGTCTGCAGTTTAGCTGTATTCGGGATACTACTTGTATAGTGTTAGCGTTCTCCATGCAGGTTGTGGCATGAAATAACAGCACTATGAACCTGCGCAGTTGGGAAGTCTAGGATACTCCACCAAAATATTTTATTATAGCGCCTCAGCTCGTAAGGCAAAGGTGTTTAAATGCACACCAAAGAATATTTGTATTCCTTGTGTAGATACAGGCTTCTCTGCCCCGTCCCTGTCTGCTGATGTGCAAGTCTGCGAAGATTTGCAGTTGTCTCTTCTTTTCTCCCCCTCTCTTTTTCTCCCACCTTTGCAAAGGATACATATTAAGGAGTGAAATCTTCCCTTGCTGTAACATCTGGAGCTATTATTGCATTACCATTGGCATTAAAAAACTGCTGATTTAACATGTAACAAGAATATTCAACTGTCTAATGGCAGAGAGCTTGTTACTGTGTATATTGATACAGATCCCAATTCACAATGAAGAGCTAATGCCTCCTCACTAAATATGACAATCCTGTCAGGTCTCTGATACAGCCAAACATCAGGAAATGTTCAAAGTGGGCTTTGGGTCTGTTCTGCGCTGGGCACTACTGACATTTGAACTTTCTTTACCGTAACCCTTGCATTCACAAGATGTACCAGCAGTGGCCAGCTGAGACGAGAGCCCGACACCACTGAATTCCCATGCACCATCTCATTGCCTGCCTTGGGGCTGGGATTTCATTTCCTGGGCCTGATCCAGCACTCGCTCAAGCGGAGCCTTGCCATTGAGTTCACTGGCTGTTGAGTCAGGTTTCTGAGGATGTTTTCCGCACTGATAGACACTCTCATGCAATGTCCTCTTATCAGAGGCTTGATTTTTATTTATTTTTTTTTTTTTAGTAGGTTTTTTTTTTTTTTTAAATACATGTAGTGGGAGCTGAGCCAATTCAGCACTTCATTTTTAAGGTGCAGCTGCAGTTAAGACCAGAATTGTTCCATGAGCTGTACAAGGAATTAAAAACCTTTTCTTTGAACAATAGTGACTGATATAATGCAGTAGGTTTTGAAACACCTAATTTTTGGTTCTGTGTTTTCCCTTCTAATATCTGCAAACGTCCAGGCTCATGCTGTCTGCGGTTTTATTTTGTTAGTGTGCATGAATGATTTCAACAACTGATCAGACCCTACCCCCCAGAACAGACTTTTAGGAAGTGGAAAATACCACCCAGGCCCCCTCCTTCCAGACACCCACAAACCGGGCTTGCTGTCAGGTTAATAACAAAAATGCAAGGTTTCGGAGATGACACGGTATCGTTGGTCGAGGACTACGCCTGTAGTGAGAAGTGAAACTGTTTCAATCCAGTAACGTTTTTGTCTTAATTGGTTAGTGCATTGATTTTTGTCTGTATCAAAGGATTGCCTGGAGCTAGAAGGCAGCATTGTTTTAAAGTCAGCCAGGTTTCTTTTTAAATGCGACTTGTTCAACAGCCACTGTCGAAGCTTTTTAATCTGTCAGTCTTTCTTTATGAAACAAGTGATGAACATATGTTGGGGTTTATCACCTTTCAGCCCCTTGCACTACAAGTGGTGCTGTGTTTTGCGTTCCTGATGGTAAATGTTCATATATTTTTATTTGCTGTCTAAATACCAGACATATGCTCCTTTGGCTTGGCTTTCAGTGAGCTAAGCAGTATTTTCACATTGATGTAGCTGTTGCACATTGCAAAAGTCTCTGGCATATGAATGCTGGTAACATTAATAGTTTTGCATAACTGGATGTGTTGTGGAGGGGAATTTTTTAAAATTGGGGTTGGGATGGTGTGAGAACAGGAAGGTGCAGCTGCTGGAGGCGGTGAAGCAGACTCTAGATATTAGTGTGGGGTTGTGTACCAACACCAGGGCATCTGTCTCACAGCTGCATCTAGCCAAATATGCACACGTTGTGATTTCACACCGGCCCCCACAGCTCGGGGATCCCTGTGAAACTGCCTTGCTCCATGGACCAGCTTTTTATTAATCATCTTTGCAAAATTGTTTTTAACTCATCTCTTTGTTTCCCATTGGCCTTTGCTGTCCTAAACTGCTCCTGAACTTCTGTTCTGTTTTTCTACCAGATCCTTCGCTAATGCAGTGGTCCTGGATTTCATAGACATCAGGGCTGGAAGGGACCTCGGAAGATCGTCGAGTCCAGCCCTGCTATGTCGATCGTACTTGGATTTGTGTTTAGTAATTGAAGGCTAGAATCAATCAATGACACCTATACAACAGGCACGGTAATGTCCAACTTTCAGGGGCTGGGCCCCAGCGTAATCCATAAACTGAAATTAGGCACCCAGGCTCCTAATGTAAGTAGCCCTCCTATGGAGCAGCAAGATGCTTGGCCCTTCCTATGGGCCAGGCCTAGGCAAAGAGCTGCGCCTGGAATCCCAGATGCCCGAGTCAGGGTGCCAAGGAGACAGCTGCCCCCCAACCCACTCCTGCATTTAGCCTTTGAAAGACCTGAGAAGAGCTCACACATCCCTTTTAAAATGGTGGGGAGGTGACTACTCTTAGTGGTTAAAGCACTTACTTGGGGTGTAAAAGACCTGGGTTCAAACCCCTCATCTCCCTGGAGAAATGCCAGACTACTGGGCTATTGGTAAGTTGAGTGGAGGAGTCCTGCCCTAATCACTGCTTGTGCTTTGGCAGATATAAAATGTGCTTTCAGAGCAGCAACTGGATTGCGCCCCTTGCACGACGGAGGTTTGACCTGTTCAGCACTGCTAACACAGGTGCTCTGGGCATGCCCAGGTGCAGAGCATTAGATGCCCAGAGAACTAACAACAAAACCTTAGGAGTGTGAGGACTGTGCGTGTCTCCAGGACTGGCTGATTGCTAGGCAGGGTGTGGGATATTGCAGTTTATGGCCTTGGGCATCTGCTGCCACTGTATGGACCAAGAGCCTTCTGTGGAGCCAGCCCTTTGAGCCATTAAGCATGCATATATATGCTTCAGAGTTTAAAGAAGGGCTCCTTTAGGGACAGAGGGTCGAATGAACATTTTGCTAGTGCTAATTAAAAGTCTCTCCGGGCAATTATAGCATGTGCACACTCTCTTGCTCTTTCTCATGTTGATACATAACTGGATTATGGAGTAGGGGGGCAGCTTTTATGATGTTAAGTAAATGCATCACCCCTGTGGGCAGCAGGCACAAGGGTGGCTTATGCTCACTGTTGCAACAGAGACACCAAACTTGCCAAGAGGCACGAGGCCTAAACCCGAAGTCCCCCTGCACCATGCACAGGGAGAGTTAAGTGCCTGATGAGAACAGGTGTCACAAAAAGCAGCAACTGAGCAGGGAGCCAAGAAATGCAAAACGGGGTTGTGGCTCAAGTGGGTC